CAGGAATAATTATTTTTTTAGATTCGCATTTAAAGACTTTTTGTCTCGTATGGAATGTAATGTAAGTTCTGGAACTGAGATGCTTATCCGTAGTACAGAATTACAGCCCTTATAAACTTTGATAATAGTTTCCGAAATGCTGTAACGATGCATCTCTAATTACGCAGTTTTCCAAATAAGGAATTTCAAGACATATTGTGTAGTAACAGTAATAATGATAATTTGAAAAAATGTCTTCAGATACATTTACATTAAACAGTATATGAAGCTGTGAATTTTCTTACACTCAAGAATATAAAATTCACTTTCTATAAACTACAAGAGCCATAGGATTTTATTTTAGAAATATAAAAACACTCTAGTTTCTTCAAATGAAAAGGCATATCCACATTTGATATCAGTACTCAAAAAAAAAGTCAAATGAAAACAGATTTGGTGCATATCGTCTGTTTCAGAATGTTTATTCTAGAGAGTCCACTATGCAATATTCGTCATTAAATAAAATATAGTATGTACACACAACAGTAATTAAGTTTAAGTAATTAAAAACTACAAATTGTCATGAATGACATAAATATTATTTCCATCGTACTGCATCGCATTTAGGCCTAAGTGAAACTTTTGTTTTAAAATACTCTGATTGTTTATTGGGAGTTTTTTCAACTTAATTTTTATTACAAACAAAAAAACTAATGTTTAATCATTCCAGTGGTATGGAAGCAGCATTAGTTTCCAAATGCCCTTCTAGAGAATTCATTGTTAATAATCATTTTCAGTTAACCTGAAATAGAAATAAGGATATCTTTCGGAAAATCAGTTATAGAGTCCTAATGCCAATATTTGATTGATTTTAGGTTTATGTTGTTTAGCAGCGTGTTTGAGGACACAAACAGCCAAGACGCCCTCCCGGATATGTAAAGTAGTAAATATTGATGCACATTTTAAGACGTGGACGAATGTTTATGATATTTAGGATATAAGACAAATCATTCCATAAGCAGAGATTTATGACATTGGCGAGCATTCTCGTTTTGTAATCTGATATAATGCGGTGCATTTAGAACTCGAAAAACCAGTTTTAGGAATTACTCTTTGCAAGCTCTTGATCCACTGGCATACTATGTAATTTTGTCTATTTAAAAAACTTAATCTTTTTACAACAGTTAAAAGATTCAAACAAACACCCAAAAATTGTTGCAACATTTTTATAGACATACTATATTTTTTACCCAATTAGTAAATCATTTCTCTTGTATGAGGTGACGTTTCACAACCGTCAAAGTTGGTAATGTCTCCCCAAATGAGATGTTCTGACACCGTCACAGCATACGACTACTAATCTTTTGCAAAAGGAAATGAAAATACGTCTTATAACTAAAGAACTAAAAAACGTAGCTAATGGTGGCAGCGATGCAGTTACGAGGAGAGCTGCCTGGATCTGCGGAAACAGGCGACCACGATGGGAATCTTCCATCACCTGGACAACACCCTCAGAAGTATATTCTTCCTTCCGTATTTACTGTAAGAGGGAAGGTGGGAGGGCGAAGACTTCAGGAAGCGTGTTCGTCATCGACATCTCCATGTTGTGACGTGTCCTCGTGGCACCGATATACGTACGCGCTGACAGACAGGTCATCATCTGACCGCAAGCAGGCTTTTCCTTGTGGGCACTCGCATCTGTGGACACAAACAGAATAATGAGGAACAAAAATTTGGCTTTCGAAAGTTGTATGTCTACCCACATCTGGAATTTCCAAATTTTGTAGACGTCTGGCCAACTGCCTCAGCTTTGTCTCTTATATTCCTTTCTGGATTGGCTGTGGTGTTTGTGCTTGCGGCTTTTATGGCGGCGGTGACGAATAGAGAATGTCGTTATTGGCTACAGAAATACTTTAAAGTGTTTGTGGGCCCTGTGCAAAATATGATCTTCGGATCCCGTGATACTAGAACAAATGTTATGTTAACAAAAGCTAAATGAATAGGAAACACTCAAGGCGTTATTTGGTCATCTGCATTCTTGTAATATGTCGTAATTACCGAAAAATTTCAACACACATTAAAAACGTGCAAATGTATTGTTGAGAAAAATGCAAAGAATGTATTTTGAAAAAAAAATGAATTAACTTTTTTTAAATATGCAAGCTCTTTGCCCTGTCACTAATGGGTAACTCCTAGTTCTGTCCCATATACTCTTCTTAGATATTTCCAAATAAGCTTCAAGCTTCAGGTACTACGGGATACGAAACTTCTTTAAAATATCACACAGTTTTCTATGAACATGTGACTTACGTGTTCTTCATAAAGTAATCCACACGGCGTGTGAACGGCACATAGACGGCCCAGCCACATGGTGTGCTGCTGTGACAGGTCTTCACCAATGACAGGTTAACAGATGGGCTCGTCTCCGCCACTGCTCTCTGTAACAATCAGAAAATACTAGCTATCAGTTTCACATCTCTCTGGTAAAATGTCTGTTGTTAAAAATCCAAAATTTTAGGGGTTCAGGATACAGTTTTCAGAATGTGGTTTCATGGATTATATACCTAACAGTGTTAAATCATATAATTTTGAGATTTAATTTGTAGGGATATAGAAAGAGGTGACCACTGTCTTCGCAGTTCGAAGTTGGGGTGCCAACCACTTCACACGTTTAGTTGAAAGTTGCAGAGAACGCACGGGAAACAACGTATAATATACCAGCACGCTTTTCAGTGAAGTGGAGCAGAATTTGTGACTCTATAGCCTACCCTCGAAATGTCAGGAACAACAGATACAAAATCTCCTGCCGGACTAGGCAGTCCACCCATCTTGATGACTAGGTGGGATGCCAACGATATAGGATGAAAGTGTCTCGTGTTACACTACGCGAATCACACTAAACCTGTCAGTGTCTTTTCTGAATTGCAGTCAAGAGCATATTTATAGAAGCGGCTATCGACTTTAAGAATATTATATTTTTTTCTTGATGCGATACTTGTTGCTAAATGCTGCTGAAACTTCCATTATTTCAAACATCAATATTAACGTGTGGGCCTTATCATGAACGATAAAATGAAAGTGCAAGACAGCCATAATTTGGAATGCTTCATCACATCATGAGACAATGCAACCCTAATTATATTTTAGCTAGCAGAAGTCATTTCATAGTAATATATAGTAAGCATGACCTTGTGAACAAATCCAGGATGACAATCAAAAATATGAACTCAGGGGTCAAAATCTTTGTCTTTACGAGATGTCAGCTATCTGTCATTCATGGATAACCTATTGACTTCGGACCACACACTACCCAACAAAAAATTCCTGTTCTCTATTTTACATTGGACTGTGGAAAAGAAAAAATATAGTACGCAGTAATTGAAGATGAGAAATGGCTCGTGCGTAATGCCTTATGCTGTTTTCTACACGTCAGCAAAGCATATTTGTTTTCTGCTGTTTATCACAAGAAACTCATTCATAGGCACTTCCGATTTTTCGCGATACAGCATTTGTTCCATGTGAAAGGGCAAGCACAGTTTTGTGCAAGGAAAAGGCTGCAATTAAAGCGAAATCGTACGTTATCTAGTAGTAGTACATTGACGAGTATTAATAGTCGCATTGTACCTTATAGTCAGCCAGGGGCCCATTAGTAATTACTCGTTTAATATATCCTGTCGAGCACGTGCCTCGCTGTCACATTAATCCAGTATTACTAAGAAAAATCTTTTACATGTTGGTAGTAAGCAAATTAATAATTATACTTCGACAATGTTTTTGAGTTTAATGATTAATTTTTAAGGTGCCTATGTATATTCGATATGCCTTGAAAAAAGCGCTTTATGACGTCAGCTTGCTGCGACATAAAAATGAGAGCGCAATGCCTCATATTGATAGTTACCATATTTTATTTTCTTACATACGTAATGCAGTTTTAAAGTTCAACACGAAATCAAATGTTATATTTTCACCTCTTATCTATTGTATTACGTATGCATAGGACCTGTTTCAATACAAAACGTACCGCTAATGCAGCATGGTTTACTGCCCAGCAGCGTTACGAGGCTCGGACAATATTTCGCCTACTTCAGTCATAAGCCACATTTTTCACTGATTTCACTGTTCACATTTACCTTCCGTTCCATTACACTTTAGCAACAACCTCTTTATACTCCAACGGAATGAGGTACAAAGGTGAGCCCGATAACGACGTGGATTTATATGCTTGCCGTGACATTCTTAGCGCTTGTACAATTGTGATAAACTCGCAGGCACATGTGACGTTACTTGTTCGCGCTTGCTTAGGTGAGCAACAGGATAATTTAAACCAAACTAAACACAAGTTGTTTGAAAGAAAAACTTGTTTTTTTACCGTTTGTAGCTCGAATGATACTTACATTGTGACACTTCCTTCATTTGTCATTCATTAAGTGGCTCGCAAGTCATCACTCGTGCTGATTGATGTTGATTTGTTTTCGTATTCAAGTGAAATGCCTACGTTTTACTTAAAACGATCGTATTATTATACATCAGCATATTGAATTAAAATATAAGATTATATATCTGGTCCAGTCAACATGCAGTCATATCAGTTCATATGTTGTTATGAGGGTATGGTTATAGTGGTAGCGGGAGGTAATAATAACAGCTAATGGTGATCATGGCGGTGATAGAAGTTGTAGTAGTGGTGGCGGTGGGGATGCCTCCTCGGGGGCCTAGCTATGGATCTGTGGGGCCGACGGAATGTTAATATGTTTGGAAACATCGGTATGGTTATCGGATGGCTTCTGATTACGTTTGCAGACAGCGTAGCCATGCTTATATCTGGAAGAATCATTGAAGGATTCTCAAGAAGTATCCTTGCCACTTGCATCACGGTGAGAGGTTCCAACCACAACTTAGTCGAAGACTAGCAACACAGACAGATATTAACGTTTCGGAGGAACATACTGCCTCCATCTTCAACCCTGAAGATGGAGGTAGTATGTTCATCCGAAACGATGGTATCTACCTGTGAGTCAACACAGCGTCACAACCCAAAACATCATCTCAATGTGCAATGTATCCAGTGGAATTACAATCCGTACACCTTGAAATTAGTACGATTTATATCGATTTAGGGCCGCGTTGATAATAAACATCATTACCACAACATTTCGAGAGAAATTATGTATCCGAAGGAGATTTTTCTAAAACGTATATAGACCAATATATTGTTTACAGAAATATGTTATGTCAGCAATACGAGTGCTGTTTCATACTGGACAATAAAGAGTAAAATTCTTACATTTCTGGTGCCGTTGGTTTAATACACTAAACAGTAACTCTGTGGCATATCGGTCTATAAAAGAATATAAAAAATGTGAGACACAAATACAGAGCCTCTGTTTATGCGTACTTCATATAATTTAATGCAAAGCAAGTTCGTTCTGCCAAAGTGCGCGCTACATGATCTCAATGTTGTGTTGAAGGTAAACCTTGTTAAGAGAGGTCTTGCACGAGTCTTGGAGCAATTAGACTCAATTCTTTCCGCCGCACATACTTTAATTAATAAACAAGGCTACACATCCTGAACTTTGATTACATTAACGAACGAGTCTCCAGTAATTGCTTCATAAAAACTTATACGGCTCCGTTATATGTAATATTTGTAAAACTTTGGTCTAGATAATACCATTGATGATGTAAGTCTTGGCGCAAGAGATACACTGCATTAAGTGATAATTAAATAAAAAATATCGAGCAAATAAGGGAAATCTGCAAAAATAAATTACTGCAATTTCTTCTATTTTATGTCGACACGGAAAAACATTTTCTAAACGATCAGATATTTGCAAACTCGTTTGTCGTCGAATGATGACCTATATACAGCTGTGCAGTTTACACTAATGTAAGGTAAATCGGAATTTTTAGATTAAGATACATTTTATCATTCCATACAAGCCTAGGTCTCAGGTTTACCGGCTAAAACTTTATATTTTTCCCCATATCTCCCATGCGTGCTACTTGCCCCATCCGTCTAATGCCCCCTGATTTAGTTACCCTAATATTTAGAGTACAAATATTGAAGCTTATCCTTGTGCAATTTTATCCGGCTGTCCGTTAGTTCTTTCCTCTCATGTTAGGTCCAAATATTTTCCTCAGTACCCTGTTTTCAATCATCCTGTACATAGGTATATTGGCAATATTCATTAAGCCCTGAAGATGGAGGTAGTATGTTCATCCGAAACGATGGTATCTACCTGTGAGTCAACACAGCGTCACAACCCAAAACATCATCTCAATGTGCAATGTATCCAGTGGAATTACAATCCGTACACCTTGAAATTAGTACGATTTATATCGATTTAGGGCCGCGTTGATAATAAACATCATTACCACAACATTTCGAGAGAAATTATGTATCCGAAGGAGATTTTTCTAAAACGTATATAGACCAATATATTGTTTACAGAAATATGTTATGTCAGCAATACGAGTGCTGTTTCATACTGGACAATAAAGAGTAAAATTCTTACATTTCTGGTGCCGTTGGTTTAATACACTAAACAGTAACTCTGTGGCATATCGGTCTATAAAAGAATATAAAAAATGTGAGACACAAATACAGAGCCTCTGTTTATGCGTACTTCATATAATTTAATGCAAAGCAAGTTCGTTCTGCCAAAGTGCGCGCTACATGATCTCAATGTTGTGTTGAAGGTAAACCTTGTTAAGAGAGGTCTTGCACGAGTCTTGGAGCAATTAGACTCAATTCTTTCCGCCGCACATACTTTAATTAATAAACAAGGCTACACATCCTGAACTTTGATTACATTAACGAACGAGTCTCCAGTAATTGCTTCATAAAAACTTATACGGCTCCGTTATATGTAATATTTGTAAAACTTTGGTCTAGATAATACCATTGATGATGTAAGTCTTGGCGCAAGAGATACACTGCATTAAGTGATAATTAAATAAAAAATATCGAGCAAATAAGGGAAATCTGCAAAAATAAATTACTGCAATTTCTTCTATTTTATGTCGACACGGAAAAACATTTTCTAAACGATCAGATATTTGCAAACTCGTTTGTCGTCGAATGATGACCTATATACAGCTGTGCAGTTTACACTAATGTAAGGTAAATCGGAATTTTTAGATTAAGATACATTTTATCATTCCATACAAGCCTAGGTCTCAGGTTTACCGGCTAAAACTTTATATTTTTCCCCATATCTCCCATGCGTGCTACTTGCCCCATCCGTCTAATGCCCCCTGATTTAGTTACCCTAATATTTAGAGTACAAATATTGAAGCTTATCCTTGTGCAATTTTATCCGGCTGTCCGTTAGTTCTTTCCTCTCATGTTAGGTCCAAATATTTTCCTCAGTACCCTGTTTTCAATCATCCTGTACATATCTTCTTCCCTTAATGTGAAAGACCAAGCCTCAAACCATACAAACAGGTAAAACAAAAAGTTTATTTCCTTTCTATCTTTTTTTAGGTAGGCGATGGAAAGAACTCCGGAATTTAATCTACTTTATTGCAATGCTAATAATTTGTTTTGTCCCCAAATGCATGAATGAATGTTGTCCCATTGTCGAAGAATCAATGAATATATTTATTTCGAACGATCTAATATTGGAAATGAATCCAATTTGTCACATAGTTTATGAAGTGCAAGCTGATGGTGTTTGGTAGATCCGTTTTCTGAAAGGGAATATTCTTGATAACAACTGGTTTTACAAATTTTGTAAATCATATTTATTCTATTAACACGTTATTTAAATTAGGTGAATGTTTGGTGAAACATGATGTTCACGTACTTACAATGGATCCACTAGAAAAAAATAAGGAGTAAATGCCCTTTTAATAGAATTCAGTATAGGCAGCTCAATGTTAAATGTCAAGAAACGACGTTGATGAATAAACAGACTATTGTGTATAAGCGATCCTAATAACAGATGTCATACAGGGACCGTTATGTTGTGCTGTACCTCAGTGGATCACTTAAGAAGTATGGAGGAGAGTTAATTATAATTGTGTATAATCGATTTTCGTGTCTAGCTGAATTTGAAATATTATCAAAATGTAATATCTCAAACTTTATCTTGTTGCTCCTGCCAAGGAAATATAGACGCTTATGGACCTGCAGTACTATATAGGAAATTCTAGTTTATGAAGTCTTATTTACGACTTTCCTTTCTGTAAAACTAAATATTAATAAGTCATTTGTTTAAAGGATTGCCACTTTGTTCGATACTTTCATGTAAAATTGCTTCATATTTAAATTGCAGGTTATTTTAAAGGACAGACATAACGATCTACAAATACGATAATGAACGCAGATCTTATAATCATTCAGCAGGGAGACGTCATGCAGAAAGGCATTTAAGAAAACACCAATTATTGGCGCCAGAACACTTTCTTCTGCGTTAAAATCTAATAGTTTTCTCGTATCACATTGCACTCTCAATAGTAATATTAATATTGTTTCAGGAAAATTAAGTCACGCTTGTGTTTTAAACATGAAAGTTGTTTTATAGCTAACTTGCATAATAGTAATGTACATACAGCAGAGATAGAAGGTTTACATATCAGGGAAATGTGTGGCTTAAAACAGGATGTTTATGGTCTAATATCGTGATAGTTAATTGACACTGATACATAGCTGACAGGAGAGTCAATGAGGGAGTGACATAAGTTATATTCCATGATTTGTTTATCTTTTCACATCTCTTACTCCAAGCTGTCAGAACAGGAAAGAAAAAATTCCGAGAATGTGGCTGCACGTAAACCTGAAATGTCGGTAACTGCTGCTTTATTGTCTATAGACGTAGTAGGCAATAGTATTACGCTACGAAACACAAACTAAAACCATAGTCAACACCTCTAAAATTTGAAGTTGTCTCTGTTTAATGAAAGAATCATATTTTAAAAAAACGCAGCGAGGCGTTAAGGTATAGCTCCGCTTAATCTTAACCTCGGTACCAGATGGGCGTGAGCAATCAGTTTCACGATCGGCCACTTCGCCACGAAATGCTCTCGTGAGAGCTGTGCGGTCCAACCAGCCTCTTTTCCGCTTGGTACCAGAATTCGTTCCTCAGGAATAAAGCGGCCGGGGCGTGAAGCTAATTCCTCGCCTCCGTCTAGTGCCAAGATTAAGCTTGCGTGGGTGGCATAGCGCTTAGTTAAGCAGAATGGATAACAATTTATGTCGGCATTTGGTAGGATGGTCTAGAAAAACATGAAATATTTCCGGGGTAGCAAATCTCCAGCCAGGACTCTGAACAAAAAACAGGTCTGAACCACTAGAAAGTAGCTATAGAATTATGCAGGTAGGGCAACCTTTTCAGATGTTTTTTTGTAAACCCGACGGTCCGGGATAATTTGATCTCTCCCCTGTAAGGTATCCTGAACAGGCAGGTATCTGGAGCATTGACAGGTTTTGTAATCGTTTATTCATTTCCAGCAGATGCACCACAGTAAAGCAGGTTTATTGTAGTATGGTTGTATTATATTTGGCATTATCCATTGCATGAATATGCTAGTAGAACAAAATCCCAAAACGTCGTACATGTTAAAAATACCTCAATGGGCAATGTTTTACGTAATATTGGTATAATGATCCAACCACTGTCACAAACCTTGAGAGAACCAAGGAAGTCACTATGCTTGATGTAATGATTAAATAATAAAAGGACTGCTGGAGAATAAATGTTGACCTCACCTTCAGAATTTAAATATTGGAAGACTGCATCTATAATTGCAATTTGAAAACAGTTAGGTAACCAGTGTTTACAACATGAATTTAAATCACTCCCAGTTCGGTAGTCATGCATTAGTTTGAAATGTTCTGAAGGGAATCTGTCAGAATAAACTCGTAGTTGACATTTTTAGAGGTCCCTTGATTCAAATTTTTTTATTAATTCTAACGTTCCTGATCACCTAAATGTTTCGGTGAAAAATATGGAAATTTCACAAACTATGACGACCTAGTATGATCGTATGAACAGCAGGTCATTGGCGCCGTGATATCAATATTTGGGGATCTTAAATCGTAGGATACAAGGATATCACGATACAGGCCAGACAATACTTCCCTAGAACTAGAACGTAGCCTAGGTACATAACTTTATCATGCAATATAAAATTAAATTAAATGTTATGAACAAGTATAGATCTGTGTCCGAGAGCAGATTTCAGGGACTGGCTGGTTTAACAGAAACAACTTTACATCATCGCGAAAATATATGTAATTACGAAACACTTTTCTTTTTATTGTGTGAAATTTACGTGTCATGCGCTAGTATGAAAGAGAATTACAACAATTTTAATTGTGTTCAATGCGTATTTCCTTTCAACATTATAATGAGCGATGTACAATATATGTTATTTTCATATATGTATTACTTGTCATGTAACTATTCTTCTGAAAAAAATACTTGTAATTTTTCCTATATAAAAGTACAATGTTTATATTTATGACACTATGGACACTACGCTCATTTTCTAAGCAATAATTAAGTGCAATGTATTTTAACAATATTTGTGTGGGAAAGCTACTGACGTGGAGGCCACTTTATTTTGATATATCATCTGTTTCTGAAGAAAATATAAGTATCTGGTTTTCCGATATAAGCATTAAGCAGCTTAGAACGGACAGAGAATTGAGAAAGGAGAACCTGATTACTTGTTTCGATATATTAACAAAACGGACACAACTTGCATATATTTCAACAGTTCGTTAGAAGCACGGTTGTATCTTTAAATTCATGCTGTTTAATAGTGTTTAAATGTTCCTGTCGCGTATCTAAGTTGCTGTAAATGAGACAAGAGGCTATTTGAGCTCTAGAAACCACTCAAACTTCTACCGATATTTACGTATTTTTCCAGTGTTATTTTATAATTTTACTACTGAAACCTGTAATTTGCTTAATTTGTAGTGTTATCTGAGTCTTTGCATGACATTTCAGTATTGAGAAACTTACATAAGGAAGCAATTTAAAAAAACAGAGCTTGAAAATTAAGGCGCACTTACATTAGAGTCGGAGGCACTGGAAACAATACGTAATATACTAAACATCATATGCATGAGATCTGTTTCATATTTATAATGCTACAAGACGTTGAAACGATGACAGTCAGACTGACTATGAAGAGAGGAAAGGAATTTATTTCCTGAGTGTTTTGCTGTGTGTACTTACCCGACTGTGAACAGCTGCGCAATCAGTAGATACGAGGTGGCACACAAGAAGCATGCCGGCAAAGACGATTGCGGATGCACGTAGATGGCTGTCCATTTCGACTGCTGCAGATGAAGTACCAGGTCGTTAAACAGTCACCTGACAAATTAGCTGCTGTTCAACGAAACTCGCCTCGTCTCAATGTGCTGGTGAATTGATAACCTACGTTACTCAAAATTTTGAGCACGTCCTATAGAGAGGTAACTAACTTCAAATGAAAATAAATTATGTTGGAAAACTGCTGACAGTTTTCGGAATATTTCAGAAAATGTTCCTCTCCTTAGCTTTCGTCGAGTCCGTATGGTGTACTACCAGTAGTGGACGGCATATATAAGCAGAAGGGAGGAAAAGTGGTGTGGGGTACACATTTGGAGGGGGCTAGCGGTGTGGTCGTCAAAGAATGGGGAGGGGATTACTTGGTCTGAAAGGAGAAGCTCATGCCACAGATCTCGCGCCATCAGAGACAGAATGATTTACGGAGGCTGCAGGGAGGTGATGGAGGAGAATCTGTATGTTCTACATACTAGTCTACGAATGCGTAACTCTATATTGATGTTTCTATAAATCAGATACATGAATTTCTGCTAATTATTTTCATGTTCCTGTGATGACAAAATATATTTAGAGAAAATGTCGTCGGAAACTATCACTTGCTGTTTTACGGGCCTATATGTCGTAGTGTTTATGGCACTGAGAATTTTGTCTTTTTTAAAAGTTCAACAGTTTATCCTAATGATTTCTTAGTTGCAAACACTGGTGCCATCAGCAGAAATTAAACTATCTTCACGGACAAGAATCCTTGAGGAACCAATCGTCAGCTAAGTTAGGAAAGGAATACCCACCCTTAATGGGATCTCAATATTTATCACCGTTTTCACAAGACCTGTCTCTGGACAGTATCCTGAGCTACATGAACTCAATCCACATCGTTACTTTGTTTAATTTTCATCATTCAGCGTTGATGGTGTTCTAATGTGGGATTGTCATATGAATATGATATGGCTGTATGAGTGAGATAAAATTTTGCGCGTGGAATAAAATAGAACACAAAACTCCTGTACGTATAAGGCTAATTTTCATAACCAGCAATAAAGACTGGCATTATTCTTAGAAGTATATGCAAACTTGTTTATGTTTAGGCCTGATTACCTGCATAAGTAGGCTACACGATGTGTTTACAACTTGCAAAATGCTGTTCATAATAAGTTTCTGCGAAGTTCTTTGTCACTTCCCACAGAGATACACTTCCTTCGAACAGCCTTATATAATAATTAGTCTTATTTGTATCTGCATTTATTGCAGCATAATCATGTATCGTAACTTGTTAATAAGAATTAGGAGACAGAATTAAGTAAGTGGCGTGCTGGTGTTTGGTAACCTAGTTATAGCCGTGGTGCGTAAAGTGTGTGCAGAACGGCATTCTGTCAGCGTAGCATGCCTCTGTTAAAACAAATAAGTCGATACAATTTCACGGACATCCGCTAATATAACAGGCCTTTCACATTCGCTTCTTCTAAAGCGGGATACGGTTATTTTAATTGAGAAGTAGCTGCTGTTCTGTAGTCGCTGATGTTTCAGCCCAAACCACTAAATGTACTTTATCAAGACGGATTGCAGATAAACCACGGTATGGGCAGATCTGTAAGTTAGCGAAACCCGTCTGTCTTTCGGTAAGTCAGAGAGCTGTATCTTGTCTGTGGTGACAATAGTTTCGCAGATAATGGAAAGAAATGCCTATTTACAGAAACATGAACGATTATAGAAGTTTATAGAGCAAGGATTATGTAAAGGTACCGCTTAAGATTATTTTGATACAACCCAGATATCTTTACCGTGACGAGAATCTCGAATCCCAATCTGATGCTATATCATAAACAGTATTCATAAATTTGCTGCAGATCCTACATATTACCATAATAAAAGATAGGGTAATACGACTATAACAGACAGCAAGATTCGATTATGCCATATAATTTACAGGTGGTTGTATTGCGTGTTGTCTTCAGTGATAGAAGCACAAGTTTCGGTGTATATTTACAAGAACATTGCTCACGTCGTGTAACATATCTGACGTCTTCTGACATGGAAATTTTTGCAGATCATACGTAAATGGAAGGCAAAAAATAGGAGGGGAAGAGGAATGGAGAGCAACTCCCACTTCGGCAGCTTCCTCCTCTCGTCAACTACGTCTCGATATTTCATATAAACGTAATATAAGTGATCACTCGTCTCGAATTATTGTTGACAGAATCGGATAACGGGTTACCAGTCCTTGAGTACCTCATTTGGTGAATTAGCTTTCTTGTGACGTCGTGAATTGATCGATTTCTTGTTGTTGCCGCATTGTTATGCTGTAGGATAAAATATGGTAGGCAAAGACAAATAGATCTGTTTTTCATATTACTGTGGGGAAAAGAGCATTGATTCTTGTATCTGCTATTATTCCTCAACAAAATACGTAGGTCTATACATTGTGAAGTTATTCTGAAACAAAGTAACTTTCAGCACCAAAGTTTACAAAGTAATAATATTAAGAAGATTTCTGTCTTCTGGGTTATTGCGCTGTGTAGTCTGGTCGATGTTAACCAACGTTTCAGAGGTCATACTGCCTCCGTCATCAGGGCGATGAATATTCATCGCCCTGATGACGGAGGCAGTATGACCTCTGAAACGTTGGTTAACATCGACCAGACTACACAGCGCAATAACCCAGAAGACAGAAATCTTCATATTCACCGCTGTGAGAACCTCAAGTCTTACGTAATAATATTAAGCCTACTTGTCAACATTGGGTTTTTATCTCCGCACTTCTATGGCGACTAATATTTATTTCTGGCACATTAATTTTATTCTAAGTTTATTTACGTGTAGCAGAGCCTACTTGGCTCCTCGAATTTTGGGTGGGGTGGTTGTAACTAATAACAAGTTGCATATAAATGTATACTTTTGGGTGTGGGGGTCTACAAGGGCATTACTCGTTTCGGCCCTAATCTTTCTCTTGTTCATCTCGGTGAGATATAATTAGAAAACAATGACATACATGGCTATAAACTGTGATATTAAACTCCAGAGGTTTAACGCCGCTAATAACGAAGCTTATCATTGAATACGATCAACAATTCAATCCATATTCCATCATTTTCATTTTCTCTGCGTAAGTCCCCTATTAATGTTATCCTCCTGTCTCCATCTCGGTCTTCGAAGTGGACGTTTGCACACCAGCACTCTGGTTGCATCCCTTGTTATAATCCTAGTAGCTTGCCCGTCCCGTCCCATCTTAACCTCCTAATTTTCACTATCCTAACAACAGGTCTGTTGGCTGCTTGTATAAATAGCGAAGTTTGTGGTTGTTAATCTTTAATTGTTAAAATCATCCTTCGTAAGTTCGAACATTTTTCTGAGCATTTTGTGTTCTGTATTAATATCAAAATTTCTGTTTCCTATAACTCGTTGGAAAAATCAATCAGTATTTATTAAGCTGCAACTTAAACTTAATAACGATCCTGTTTAGAACTTGGAATATGCATCCACTGAAACAAATCCCGCACTCATTTCCGTTACAGTAAATTTTAGAAAGGTGCTGACAGTGGTCCTCTGGATTATGACGTCACACTTATTCACCGCCGTAGCAATCTCAGATTTAAAATTTTTCAACATTTCCTTCTCCCCAGTTAATTCACAAAATAAGCTTGGTGCAGGTTCGTTCTTCTAAAATGCTACAAAAGTCCTACTTATTTATTATTAATGTTAAGAAATATTTCTTGGATATGACGGAAGTCCACATATTGAATTTAGGCCTTTGTATTTCCGGATTCTCAGTGCGGTAAGTAGAGGGCTTTCTTCTGGGTTGTTGCGCCGTGTACTTTTATAGAAATTTACAAACCTTTTAGAGGTGTTTGCTGTCTCTGAAACGTTAGTAAAATTCTGCCAGATTGCAGGGTGCAGCAAACCAGGAGACAGTCAGATTAAATGACGATTTTTACCTGAATGGAACCATAAATGTTCCTTTTTCATAAGTTCACTTCTGTATATGAATCCCTTGTTTAATTGCCAAACTGTTGAAAGTCCTTTGTACTATAGGACATAATGCAGTCTGTCACATTCTTTCTATTCCCATTACTAATGACTTTTGTGAATGAACCCAAAGGGCTCCTATTGTAACAGCCTGCTTTTATGCCAATCATCTTAGAAAGATTGTTGTTTAGAAGATGTGACGATAATGCACCCGTTTACAGTGGTTCCCCACAATACAATGCTTCGGTTTCTCTGTGAGACATTTCAGAATTAATTAATTAATTAATCTCATTCACATCTAATACCCGTATCCTGCAAGGTTATTTCAGTCATGAACTTTAAATTCAGGTAGATTTTTAAAATAATTCTCTCCATGAAACAGCGTCCTTCTTGAGAAGCTGATTGTACCATCAGCTAGTCAAGAAGTTAATTCTTTGTCTTTTACCGAAATTGAAAGTTCAATACTGTGTCCAAAAGAGCCCGCCACCAGCCCATCCCCTGAGGCAGATGAATCCAATCAGTTATCTCCCAAAATATTTGCCTAAGATTCAGTTCACTATTATTCTCCTATCCACGCACACTCCTCGGGTGAATTTTTATGCATTTTATTATTTACGTATCTGGGTAGCAGATGAGACGACGAAAAATTCTGAACTGTACTTCCTGAATGCAATTTTTTTTGTTAGATTCGTTCCCAAATTCTTGAACATTGCTACAATTTCAAAGGGTTCATTAGCGACGGCATTTTCTGATATCAGGTAAGTATTTTTAAAAGTGGGGAGTTACATAATATTACAAAACTTTACCCCTGTTTAGGTTGAGAAGCCCGGATCTAGCTCTTGGAAAGTATTATGAAGCTTTGCTCTTTTATAGTGTAAATACTCACAGTATATAATGTACGTAATTGTTTTTCCTACATGAAATAATAAAGGTACGTACCCACCAAATTTAATCTGCTTAACTTTGGATTTCCATCGTACTGCTGTCCATCAAGTGTCTGTTGTATCAGCTGATGCAACTTTATTACAGCACAGAATCGTCCACATTTATAAAAGAGTATCGTGACCTATTTATGAAATTGTACGTACATAGAGCAGAACGACCCATTCACAAAGTCTGCCATATAATTATTTCCGTCTGCTGACGGCTAAAAAAGTACACTGACGGTTGAAAAATACTCAGTGGCTGATGCAAGATCCTAACTCTGTTTATCATTGTAACTTAAGGTTGGCCACTGTCCATGAATGCTACCAGGACACCTGTCCCCAAGGCGTGGGGCTGGTGTGTCTGTGTT